GCTTAAGTCCTTGATGGTAATCACTTCTACTGTAGTAAGATGGAATCTCAGTACTATTTTAATTTCTTGTTTTAAAATGTATTTAGTACAGAGTCTACAGGGTCTCACTATACTGATTGGACTCATAGCGATCCCTCTGTTTTTAGCCTCCCATGCATTGGGATTACAGGTGCATGCCGCCACATTGAGTCTCAGTCACTGTCTCAGTGTGCCCCGGGGGCAGGGCCAGCTTGGCATACTAGGGATTGAACCTGGTTCCTGCACCTGCCTAAGCAGGCACTTTAGTCCGCTGAGCTATCTGGATGGCCGCTATTTTAATTTCTAATGGCCAGAGATGCCGAACACTTTTTCATGTATTTATTGACTATTTGTACTTATTCTTTTGAGAAATATCTATTCATTTTAATTGGCTATTTTTCATTGGCTCTTTTATTGTTTTGGAGAGGGGGGATCTAATATTTTTTGGCTGGTCCTCTATCACAAGGCCAGATTTTCCTGCACCATTCTTTAAAGAGCTTACGTACTTTTTTCTTTTTTGGTCTCTTTGTGAAAGGTCAGGCAGCTGAAGCTGAATGGGTCTGTTTCTGCATCCTCACTTCTACTTCCTTGGTCAACAATGTCTACTTTTGGGCCAATATCATGCTGTTTTCATTATTGTAACTCTGAAGAATACTGGTAGCTGGGGTTGCAGTGTCTCCGCACGATGCCTTTGGTCACTCTGTGTCTCTTCTGCTTCCACATAAATTTTGGGGTTGGGTTTTCTACTTCTGTGAAGAATGCTGTTGGTGTTTTGATTGGAATTGTATGAAACCTATATATCAATTTTTTTTTTTTTTGTAATATGGCTGTTTTGGCAATTGTGGTTCTGCCTCTGTAGGAACAGGTAATCTTTCCATAAAGGAGGAAAAATTTAAATTCTTTTAAAACATTAATTAATTAATTAATTCGGTATAGGGTCTCGCTAAGCAGCTCAGACTTGTAGCGGTCCTTCTGTCTCAGCCCCTTCAGCACTGGGATTATAGGCCTGTGCCGCCATGCCCAGTTTCAATGGCAAGCTAGGGACCTGGGGCCAGCATGGTGTGTGGTACAGGGAATGGAACCCGGGTGGTCGTGCTTGCTAGGCAGGTGCTTAGACCACTGAACTGTCTCCCCTGCCAGAGGAAAATTTTTATATGAGAAAGATATATCTGATATCTGTGGGCCAATCAGAATGATCCCAGCAAGTTGGGAGAGGTTGTTAGTAAAAAAAAATGAAAAGAAATAACCAGGAAAGCAGAGACCTTGGGAAAACACGGGACAAGACCCAGAGCACACATGAACAGGACGGCAGTGGGAACGGGAATGGAAATGATCCATTTTAGCAGACGGGACGATGGGAACCATATCAGTAGATCGCTGTGCATTGTGGGAAGATCAGAGGGTCCTTTTCCTATAACGAGAGTGTGCAGTGGCTCCTGTAGACTGGGTGATGAACAGCATGTAGAGAAATTTATTGCTGTTCAAGCAACTGGAAGACTCGAGCATGGATGTGAAAGTCAAGTAAAGAACATAGATACCTACAGAAAAAAAAATAGTATCAAATCTCAATGGTGAAATGGTTCTACCAATTATCTGTATGTAATCTGATTCTATTGGAATTTACAATTTGTTGACTAAATACATATAAATAAAATGGTTGATTAAAAATGTGTTTCTTTTTGTCATTGAAATAATCTGTCCTGGACTTTATATGTTTACTTAGAACTTGGTCATTTTTTATTCTCGAAAGTCACTAAACTATATGACAGAATGTACCCCATTGTGAAACTTTTATGTTGTCAAAATTTAAGCTTTTAGGTCAGTGGTGTCCGACTAGAACCTGGACACTTGTAACTCAGCCGTATACCATAGTAAACTTTAGCTTTATCATATAACTTTGTGATTTATTTTCTTTCAGTGACTTTAATCTCGTGGTGCTCGATCTCGGACTGTGTAGGGGACAGCAGAGGGCGCAGGGACGGGCCGAGTGCTCTGGGGCTCAGCGCGCTCTGAAGCTCGGACAGGTCCGAAGTCCTGCAGCCCTCGCAGCTGCGCGGGAACAGCGCAGGGAGCACCGATGGCCGGAGGCCTGCGAGGCACGGTGTTTATTGTTATGAGAGACATAGAGGTTTGATTAGTTTATTAAACTTGGGGTCACTTGTTGTGTCAGTTCGTAAAGTAATTGAATAAGCTAAATTAGCTTTTTAGCAGCTGTGGTATAGAAAGAGCAAAAGTCTATCTAATGGCTTTTGGCTTATGAGGCGGTGCTGGCTTCCCATAGAACCTGGTTAATACTAGCACGTAAATGGCTGTTGGTGGTTATGTTCCAGATGTCTAGAATTGCAGGGAGACCTTCAACCCGTGAAAACTTTGATCATGTCTCTCTCAGACCTTCGAAGACCTGTCTTCCCGGAGAACATTATTGCCTGCTTCCTAGTCATGCCTCATTCGTGTTACCACTTTTGGGCAGCGTGTACCTTTATTAACAACTATTTTCAAGCATGAAGCATGCAAGAGAAAATTCGATGAAATATTTCTCACCAGCATCTTGAAAACTCACTAAGAATTACAAACACTTCCATCAGACCAGGCACAGATACATCCATTTCACAAAAGCAAAATCAAATATCCCACTAGTTTTTATGTGGACCTTTTAAATGTTATATAAAAACATAATAGTATAAAGGGAGTTTTGTACTTCTACATGTTAACTCTATCATATATGTTATACATGGCTGAAGACATTTTCTCTTCTTTAATGTGGCCCTGGGAAGCCACATTAAACTTCAACAATAGACAAGTAATAGTAATTAAAATTTATACTATTCTTTAGGTGTCAAGTATGTTAGTATATGCAACCTTCCCAAGAGCCATATCATCCACACCATCGCTATCATCCCAACTTTATAGCTTTGGAAACTGCCTGGTTACCCAGCCAGTAATGTACAAAGCCAGTTATGAGTGTGTGAAGTCCAGGTCTTAGGTCTGGGAGTTGAACTGACACCAACATGTGCAGTTAATGGTGATGATAACAGAGAGTAAGCAAAGTGAGTCTCAACTGAGAGTGAGTAGTGGGCAGCAGTAAAGATGGCAGTTGAAATGCAAATGACAACCTTGCTACATGTGAAGTATAAGATTAATACTGCTCTTACAAATTGGTGATTTACGGCAAGGGTAGCCAACCTCACAGTGTGTGTACTTGTGTCTAACACATGCTTTTTTTCTGAGCACTTTTTGTCATTTGTGTTGTTTCTACTGTTTTTTAGATATAGAAGTCTAATATGTTTAATATGGCCATAAAATGAACCTGTTATGGTTTCATCCTTTCATTGTGCGTAAAGTCTGTCTTAATGCTCCTCCTACTTCAACTTTATAAATATGGTAATTTAGAACCCAGAACATTTGCATAGCCACACCTACCTTAGGAAAGGCATGAATCAGATCTTCAGAGAGCGCCGCAGGCAACTGGCCTGACGTACATTACCATGTCACCAGCGTTTACTCATTATGTGACGTTCAAAGCTCTTTCTGGCAGCCCAGAGTCCAAGTCCTCAAAGCCATGGATGTGTAGTCATGTGTGTCCAGAGATGGAACTGTTTCATATGTGTAGCTGAATCAAAATTTAAAGCCCCGATTTTGTTAGTATGTACTCATTTAGAGATCCAAGCGATAAAGCCAAAAGAAAGAGAATCTGTGTCTAAAGGCACGTCACGTATTCTGCCTGAACTGGAGCTTCAGCTTCAGCCAGGACCTCAGATGCTTCTGTGAGTACAGACGGGTGCTCTCCATGTGCACCCTGGGAGCAGATTCACACCGGGAAATCAATCTGAGTTGCCGTCTACGCAACCTGAACGCTTTCTCTGCATCTCAGCAAAGAGGGCAACTGTAAGTACCAAGAAACACATCTCAGGGAGGGAGAACTCGGGAGAGCTTCTTTGCAAAATTCATTTTTCATTTTATGTGTCAATCTGACTGCACCAGTAGACAGATGTCCAGATGTTCTGTTCAACGTTATTCTGAGTCTTTTGCTGAGCTGTTTTGGGTGAGATTAACATTTACATTGGTAGACTGAGTAAAGCGGAATGCCCTCTCTGCCGTGGGTGGGCTTTGTTCTTCTAGTCAGCTGAAGGACAGGCAGAATCGCTTCTGTTTGACTGCCTGCTAACTGGGATAATTTTTTTCCTACTATTGGATTCGAAGTGAAACACTTACTAAATTCTCCTGGATTGTCATCCTACTGGCCATGTCCTGGAATTACTTCTTGGCCCTCCCTCTTCTCCAGCTTGTGGCTCACTCTGAAAGCATTAGAATTTGTCTGCCTCAGGCTGAGAATATAGCTCAGTGGCTTAAGTGCCTGCCCAGCAAGTGCAAGGTCCCAAGTTTAGTTGTCCGTACCATAAGAAAAGAATCTGTCTGCTTCCATAATTGGGAAGTCTTCATGATAAATCTCTTGTTATACTTTATTCTCTCTCTCTCTCTCTCTCTCTCTCTCTCTCTCTCTCTCTCTCTCTCCCCGTTTCAAGACAATTTTCACTAAGACAGAAATGCTGAGTATAAACCTAGCCAAGAACAAAAATAAATTGTTGCCTGATAAAAACACTAGTTAAATCACAACTAGGTCCAAGGCAGTACTCCAAGTGCAAACTGTGACATCAATCAAATGATGGTATTAATATGTATCATACAAGGTTGGGGGCTCACATTAGATAATTATGAAATATAAATAAGCTACAGAAAATTTTGTTTGTTACAGTTTATCTGAAGTAACACATGCATGGAGACGACTTTCTTGGGAAGATTCTTCCCTCCAAATGACTTTGTAAGAACTGGAAAATAGAAAATTTCCAGTTCCCCACCCCAGCCCCAGACACACTGCAAAGATGGACACACAAGCACACTGTACTCATGCTCCACACACACACACACACACACACACCTACTGACACATAAATAATCTATTTGGGGGAAAATAAAAAGGCATCTTAACTGTTAAACATTTTTATTGTGCAGATTTATAACCTTTATAGGACATGCAGATAAAAAAGTGTAAAATATATGAGTAAGCATATAAAATTTCAGCAATCGTTTGGACCAGCAATTGATTTGCACGAGAAGCTAAGCATCTAAGTAGAACAGACATGTCTTGGGATACACAGTTTACAGACTGAATCGGAGTCATTTCCCAAGTGATTTTTAATATAAAGACAAAAATATCTTTACATTTACAAAGTATGGCATAGAGTACATTTTTCGGTTATGGACACAGGTTGAAGTCAAACTATGCCCATGCCAGTGTCTGTTTTAAATGCAAACAGGCAAAGTACGTAAGAGATTGGGAAAGGGTCAGGAAGACCAAGGGAAGCAAAAAGTTAAGCAGAGTTTCATTAAGTGCATGAAAATAAACATAAAAGCATAACTGGAGGTTAAAAAAGTTCCCAAGGGCCGCAAATGCAACATGAGCAAAGGAATGAAAAGCTTTGGGATGCACCAGGCAGCTTTCTGTATGACTCAGGTTTACAGGTGAAATTCCTCAGTTTGAGTTCAGAAAAACTTGACCTTATTCCAGCAAAGTTCCTTCAGTCTTTTCTGACTGCCCCCCACCCCATCTCTCTGAACAAATGACCACGGGATTAGGTGAGAGGATCCCAGCAGTGGGAGGGGCCCAGTGCCACAGCGTAGCGAGGGCTGCCAGGGGCGCCCCGCTTAGGAGGGCTCGTGCTTGCCACAGGTCCGACAGCCGCACACAATGGCTTTCATTCTGACAGCCTTTCCCTGGAGGCCCACTGGCCACCCGAAAAGGGAACACAATCAGAGCCACTAAGCCACCCCTGGGATGGATTAGTTTGGATTCAGGAAAGCGTGATTATTCTTGAAAATAAACGACGCTGAATAGACACGCTGACCTCATTACTCTGATGAGAGGCAGGAAAAGTTGGCTTCCACCCCTGCCGGCCCAGAGAGGGCTCAGTCCCATCAGCCGCATTTGTCCACTTTAATTTATTTCACTGGGCTGATGTTGACCACAATCACCGTGGATAAAGATATTACATGATCACTTGTAGATCTGAGCTTCACCAGATTCTGCATCTCAGAGTCAGAATTCCTAAGTTTGGTCTTCCAGGGAGCTACTCACTTGTTTTTGAGCTAGACCCTACTTGAAAAGGCAAGTGTGGAAGGTAGGAAGGCACTGAAGTCCCACGGCCTCATAAGAACCACTATTCAGGCACAAAAATATCATAGGTTAAAATTTTAAGAAAAGTAAGGCATCAGTGGGATCTTGCAGAGGCAGAGGATCATACTTTCTAACTTCCTAAGGACCTCAGGATCCTATCGGATCATGAAGGAAAATGACAGCAATTCACTGACTGCTCAGGTGCTGCTGGGGGAATGGCTGCTTATAATCTTCCTGCACACCTATACAACCATGGCCATAGCCTGGAATCTTCACTTCCTTAAAATAATCAACATCTAAAGTAGGCGGTAGAGGTTACTGGTTCTCTTTTTTCTCCTCCTCAGGTTTTTTGTTTTTACATTTCCCCAAAATTATCTTTCAATGATACATTCATATTTTAGCCAGTAAAACAATGATCCACATGGAAATCAAAATATAAGAAAAAACTTGGAATGGGTTTAAAAAGACTCATACCACCAAAAATAGATGAGATCGCTTAGGAGAGACAAATACTAGTTATGAAAGCTGAGAGGGAGAGTGATTTCTTTGTTCTGGACCAAGCCACATCATTCATGAACTGCTGCTGTACTAGCAGCTCAAAACTCGGGATCGGCACCGAGAAGAGTAAAAGGAAAACATCAGGAATATTTCTATCCTTGAAATGTCATTTAGATTTCTTTCTGCGTGTTGATGCGGATATTGCTGAATATTTTGCCAATAGCTTCAAAGAGTGGGTCACAGAAGGTGTGCACGTAGATGGAATAGACACGGCTGATGCACTGAATCTCAATGAGGAAGCTCTTAATGCATGGCACAACTGCCCAGATGTGCAGGAAAGAGAGAATGGCAAAGTAAATGCCCCAGATGAGCGCCATTGGGATGCCAAACAGGGTGGAGAGCAGGCGGTAGAACCAGTACTTCGTCACAGTGAAGGTGGTGAAGCTGGCCTTCCAGATGCCGTCAAAGCTGTGGGTCCCTTCCGGCTCTGCAATCACGTCTTCAAAGTCAATCTAAAAGAAAGAAGTTACAGAATGAGTGAGGACAGAAGAAAAGAGGAACAACAGATTCAGTGTTCATAATAGGGACCCGACTCATCACCCTTGCTGGGGAGACGCCCAAAGGCATCAGCGGCATCAATGTCCCATGGGACTCATTGGATGCCGAAGGCTCCTTCTGACCCTGTGTCTGTAGGGCGGGGCCCAGAGGAGTGTTATGTGCTCTTCCAGTGTTTCTTTACCATGCGAAAGTCTGGGAACTATTCCTCTAGGAACAACAAAATTGATACAATTAAAGATCTTGCCTTCCAGTAAACCCAGCAACATGGATAAGGACACCAAGCACCAGGTGAAATGTCAAAACTGTGACGTAGCTTATTTGCTTTTGAAGATAACTACGTACACACATACACACATGCACGCACGCACACGCCCACATGCACACACACACACACACACACACACACACACACACTGTTAAGCAGGAGTAAGTTCAGAATTGATTACAATGAGCAGAATTACTTCAAGAAATTCAATCCTTGTAAGCTATAAGGACTGAGAAAACTCCATGGGATGGTGAGTTGGGAAAGGAAGAAGAGCCTTGGGAATGCTGTGCACACAGCCCTAGGAAAAAGCAGGGTGCAGACACTGGCAGACGGAGAGCAGACTGCTGTGGCCGCGGTGGAGACAGGTCAAGTCCAGAGTTGATGTCATTTTCCCTCCAGTGGAGCCTACCGAAGACGCTGGAGCTGAGAAGGGTAGCCACAGTTAGTGCGTCATGACCCAGGCTCAGGATGAATCTGGCAGAAGGAAGTAGGATGGAGGAAAGGTGAGAAAACCCTGAGGGAGGGAAGCCGTGGCTGCAGGCCAAGGTGGAGCTGGAGGGGCCAAGATTTGAAAGCAGTAGTAAGAGGAAAGGAAGTTGGAGGATCTGGAGGAGGAGGAGGAGAAAAGAGAGGAAGGAAGGAAGGCAGGAAGCAAAGAAGAAAGGGAGAGAAAGGAGGAAAATGAGCAAAGAAGAAAAGGTTTCAGGGACATTAAGGGAAGAATTTATAGGCTCTGGGTACATGAAGGACAGAGAGAGAGAAGCTTAGGATGACTGTCAGGATTTGAGCTTCTGTCATGTCTGCTACGGAGAAAAGCGGTGACGTGAGGAACGCAGCGAAAGCTAGAAAGAGAAGGCAGTGCAATGAAAAGTTAACCGCAGGTAGCTTCACTTTTGAATTAAACAAATTAAGAGTAAAATTTTAGACAATTACAGATACAAATCTGAGCTGCCCACACCTGGTGAATCCTCCAGACATCCCTTTTGGCATTGTCTCCATGTGACCTGGGGCTTCAAATCTAACTGTCATTTCACAAAAGAAGAGAAGGTGAAGGTGACTTGTTAAAGTCGAACACATGGCAAGGTCAGGATGCAGTCTGGTCCATTTTCTAATAGCGGTCTCTTGTAGGCAGCCTATTAACCACTGCAACTCACTTTCAGGATTTACATAAACTGAACAGCAGTGAAGGATTAAATAAAAATTATCCACAGAAAGGCAGGGCAGAATCAGCTCAAATGCCTGCTGGTGGCAAGAGTCAAATATAGTGCAAGATCCAAACAAGCTGATGATTGCCAATAGCAATCTAGCCAAGCTCAGGATTAGGGAAGGAGGACTTGGAGAACTCCAGGGAGCTGCGCAGTGCCAAAAAGCTACCTTTGATTCAACTCAATAAAATGTCTTCTGGAAAAAGAACATGATGCTTACCAATTTTTAAAGTTTCTTTTCTAGAACATTCTGTTTCTTGATCTATTGCCTAAAGTCCTAGCAGTGTAATATATAAAAATGGTAAGTGAACTTGACAGATTTATCAGTATTTTAGTTTCATTTATCCACTTAGATCAGAGGTATGTATTTCTTTGTTTTCTTTCTTTTCAGGTTCTGGTAAATATATGAAAAATCATGTCACTAATGAAGCTTCTACATAACCTCCTTGCTTATTATGGAGTTGAATTATGATACAGTACTCTGACACTGTAAAAATAAAGGCCTGTGGTTTCTCTTCATTCAATTGTAGTATGTCCCATACTGCAATTGAATGCTTTTCATAAATGAACTTTGTAAGAAATTTGATGAAGTAAAAATTATTATCAAAAAATATTCTTAACCTGACATCAAGGATTAGCAGCAACAATTCACAAATACCCAAGATGGGTCCACATGCTTTGAATGTGATCAAAATGCATTTTTGGACACATATCCCCTGCAAGAAAAAATAATAATAACATAAGAAACTAGAAGGGAAGGTGGGTGATGGGAATTGTTCACCTGCACAGCTTTGCCCCAGTGAAGCTCAGCGCTCTGCGTGCATAATGAAAAATGGGAGCAAACAAAACAAGGAGAAGGTATCCATCATATTAGAAAATACAATCATCTAAGGACAAGAAGCAGTTTACAAGAAAGAGGTAATTTCTTCCTCTCTCAGCAGGTCTGCACCAAGAGTTTCCAAGAAAAGGGGTAGTTTTAACATTTGTTGACTGATTATTATTAAATGTTTTCATTTAACTCATAACAGCTCCATATTATTCCACTCTATAGAAAAAAATGAGAGATTTGGAAATGTTAACAAATCCCCAGGTAAATAAGAAAGCTCTTTGAGGATTTTATTTAGTGTAAAGAAAACAAACTTTTTGTTGAATGCCACACTGCTTTACACAACTTTTTAAAAAAATTTCTCTAAGATGAGTCATCATTTTATAATAATTAAGAGGCCTAATAATAAAAATTTAATCAATTTAATCCTTCTTATAACTAGTAATTGTCATAGCTTGGCCTCTGAAGATAGTGTTGTACCACATATACAATTGGCCCACATTACGTAAGTATGTGGTATCATTTAAAACTATAGTGGATGTTTAAATTTTTATTTTTTAATTTTTCTCATTATTAACTTTGTTGAAAATCAATAATTATATAGCAAATTAAAATTGTAGGCAAATATTGAAATGTGAAAGAGATAAGATGTAGACAGTGAATTTTAGAAAAATATTTCTGAAATGAATACGTAATATGAGATTAATAATATATTGCATATTGTAAAAAATTATTTATAAACAAATGAATATAACAATAAAATTGTCTAAGATAAACATAAAGAGTTTACAGATCAGTCATATAATAGTTCTCTCTGTACCCAAATCAAGAAACTTACATTTATATAACTAGAATTCTCAAGGTGGAAGAGGGTAGGCAATAAGTATTTAAAGATTTAAAATTTCTGAATTTAGTTAAAATTATGGCACCACATTTCCAAGAAAAATGAACCTTTTGCACAATAAATATGAATAAAATCATACCAAGATACACAAAACTGAAATTTTCCAAAATTAGTTGTAAAGAAAAAATCATTAAAGCATATACATAGAAAAAATATTAGCTATGGAAGAACAAATTAAATAGCATCTTATTCCATATTAGAAAAAAAAGAGCAAGTATGTAAAAGACTAGACTTATTTGTTCAAAGGACTGACATAAAAAAGACCTGTCCTCATTGAATTTTATACTTCACAAACATACGTTTGAGAACTAAAAGTAAAATATTTTTCAGATATACAAACTCTAAAAATTCTAATACCTCTAGACATAGAATATAGAAAATAACAAAGACCATAATCCAGAAGGTAAGAAAAGTAGCTGTATATTCCTGGATAAAGAACAGAGAGCTCTCAAAATGGTAGTTATACAGGACTGTATAAAATATAATTATATTAGATGAAACCATTTAAAAAATCATTGAAGATTTCCACAAAACAGAATCATAGTACATATTTTTTTCATGTGTGTGTGTGCGTGTGTGTGTGTGTGTAAAAGACAAGGAAGAGCTAATATAAAGTCTATGGAAAAAGGAAATACATTTTTTAAAGTTTCTAATACTAGGAGAAAATATCATACCATGTCTTATAAGTAGATTGTAAGTCAAAGAAACAGTATAAACCATAAAACAAAAGTTAAAATTAAGCAATATTCATAAAATTATTAATTCAAAATTAAACATTTCAAAATAATATTCAAAAATTAAAATTAACTTATGGGTCCAACTAAGAGGCCAGAATGTAGTGTATCATATGTATGAATTTGTGATCAATTTGGAGTACTCACACAGGATTTGTTAGTATATACAAAATTATCAACTAAGAAAACTTTTTCATGACAGTAAAGAATTACTAAGAATAAACCATAACAAAAATACTGGAATGACAAATATATGACCAGAATCTCTAACAATTTGGGGATAGGATATCGCACAAAGTTCTAGTATGTGGTGGACGTAGACGGTGTCCATGAGTTACTGGTGTCCAGGTGTCACTCGTGTGACTGAGCTACTGTATTTCCTTGATATCCATCCTGTAAACCTGGACAGAATCATGACCCGTATGGTGCAGGAGAAATCCATTTGTAGACTATGCTGATGGAAATATTTTGCTGCTGCATACAAAAGAATAATTCGTGTCATCCTTGCACAGGGGCCATGCTGATCTTTTCTGTATCATTCCAATTTTAGTATATGTGCTGCCGAAGTGAGCACACAAAAGAATAACTTAAAGACCACTGTTGTATGCCTCTTTATCTTCTGGGTTTAATTGCTTGCCCTACTTGGTGGGTTCTTTTCATTCTCATTCATGGAGTTGTGGTCATTTTGATCCCTCTCTAGAATATCTTTTAGTAGTCTGTGTAGGAGTGGTTTTGTTGTCATGAAATTCTTTGGTTGTTCTTTGTCATGGAAGTATTTCACTTCTCCATCAAACTTGAAACAGAGTTTTACAGAATATATCAGTCTGGGTTGGAATTTGTTTTCTTGCAAGGCTTGAAGTACTTTGCTCCATGCTCTTCTTGACTTGATGGTTTGTGAAGAGAAATCTGCCATTATTCTGATGGTTTTTTCTTTAAAGATGATGTTTCTTTTCTCTAGTGGTTTCAGTATACTGTTCCTTTGCTGAATTTCTGGGATCTTGATTATTATATGAATGGGTG